CACGTTACTTTAATATTCGGACACTTTACAATGTAGCGCTTTTTTCAATGTTCAAGCCGAGTTACGCCAAATTAGAGGACAATGTTTATTTACAAATCTAGTCAAGCGTTCTAGTTTAAGCCTTATTTTATTAGTTATTTGTCGATCATCGTGCAATACACTTGTACAATGCCTCGTAAAGCGAACACGAGTTTTGATATACGGCAATTTGTAATATATCATAATGCCAAAGGAAAATCGTACAGAGAAATTGCTGCTCTGCTAAACATAAGCAAGAGTACAGTGGGAGATATAGTCAAGCGGTTCAAATGCGAGGATCGTATAGATTTTATACCCCAAAAAGGCCAACCGAAGAAACTAGACGTTCGCGATGAGAGAAAATTACTAAGAAAAATAAAGAAGGACCCTACGCTCAGTGCCCCAAAATTAGCATCAGAGCTGTTAAACGAGACTGGAAAAAACGTGCATCCTCAAACGATCCGCAGAGCCTTAAAAAATAGCGGGTACAATGGAAGAGTGGCTAGAAAGAAACCGTACGTGAGTGAAAAGAATCGAAAGAAGAGACTGAATTATGCCAAAGAATTTATTTTGAAGGATGAAACAGGGTGGAATGATGTCATCTTTTCTGACGAAAGTAAATTTAATATTTTTAGGTCAGATGGACGAAGGATGGTGTGGCAGAAAAAAAGGAAGAGTTTAAATTTAAAAATCTTCGGCCGAACGTAAAGCACGGAGGTGGCAGTGTAATGGTCTGGGGCTGTATTTCGATTTTCGGACCGGGCGAATTAGTTTTCATCGAAAAGATTATGGACAAAAATTTGTACATGACCATATTGAAAAAAAATGTACACAGAAGTGCTACAAAAATGGGGATTTTAAATACGTTCAAGTTCTACCAGGATAATGACCCGAAACATAAGGCACGCATTGTGCAGGAATATTTGCTGTACAATTGCCCAAAAGTTTTGCAAACATCACCTCAATCACCTGACCTTAACCCCATTGAAAATGTGTGGGATGAACTAGAGCGCCGTATTCGAAAAACACCAATATCTTCCAGAGAAATGTTAAAAAATCGTTTAAAAGAAGAATGGAACAGTTTGAGTACTGAATATTTAAAAAAAATTATTAATAATATGCAGCAGCGTTTGCAAGAAGTGATAAAGCAGGATGGCTACCAAACAAAACATTAAAGCAAGTATTGTAACAAAAATCAGCCGAAAAATAAGTGTGCATATGTAGTTTCTGAAAGTGTCCGAATATTAAAGTAACGTGGAAATCGGACAGTGTTTTATTTAAACCGTATTATTCAACAACTGTTGCAAGTTATGTAAATAAAATTTACGCTATTGTTTATTAAGTGTATACGTCATCATAATCCTTAATCATTTTTTTTTGTTAGAAATAAAGTTATAACGTAATATAGTAAAAATCTCATAGTGTCCGAATATTAAAGTTACTCACTGTATCATGATATTAATACGCATTTTACGGTATTGTTCAGTTTTCTTATTTCTTTTTATTCCCTTATTTGAATTGCAATCATGAATGTCGTTCAAAATTCAGCGTCGATGTTTGCAAATGAAAACTACATTCATTATGTAGTCCCACTTGTTTAACCTTCCAGTGGTAACGCGCGTCTTGATACATACAATAGGTATAGACTTATTATGGCGAGAAAACACAGACCACCATTGGAAGGTCAAAGAAACAAGTTTATGAGGTAATAATTTCAGCACGTCTAGCATAATTAACAATATTTGCATAGCCCTACAGTCTTTACCAATTTTAACCCTAATCCCGTAAATTTTTTTTTCGGGCACCTTCAAAGCGTAAACCTGGGTCGTTCACGTTTATCACAATTTTCAGGTATTGAATGATAAAAAATGTTGTAAAAATTCGTAAGGTACCTTCAAAGCTTCTACTACAAGTATTCAGAAATAACTTTCCAGAATTAATTATTTTAATACTTTTATGTAATAAACGCTTATTATGTACTGATTTAATTAGACAAAATTGTAACTTTTTAAGGAATTGGAGAAATAAAAAAATGTCAACGCTAAATAAAGGTTCAAGGATCAGGTAGTGAAAAAAAAAAAAATATATCTGTCATTGAAAAGGGAATACCTAATTACACGACCTCAGAGTGTATGTGTGTATTCTTCAACATTTTTTTTGCTTATATTTTTCTGGTATATATCTGCAAATATACTAATTTTAATTGATTTTCAATTCAATATGATTCACGGGTTTTTGCTGGCGAAGACACCTGTCGATGAAGTCGCTGGATCTTCCATATACTTTGGTCTAAAACGATAGTAACCAATATTTAGAATGAAAGTTATGCTATATGAGCTCAAAAAATCCTAAAAATATATTGCCATCAAAAACAAAAATTTCACTTACGCAAAACTCTAACGACAAAAGGTGGGTCTTTCGCGTCCACTCAAAATGATTTCACCTCAGCTTTTTGAAACCAACTGAGTTAGGGTCACAAGTTTTCTACCTGAACGTACCCTCGACTGTAATTATTTAGGGGTAAAGATTTTTTAGGTTTACAGGATTAGGGTTAATATAGAATAATTATTAATGAAATGCTTCTGGTTATAACGACAGAATTAGCCTACGTCGGGATCTGATGTTGGGCGTATAGAAAAATAAATATTGAGAGCTTCCGTAAATTCTTTTCGAACACATTCGAACGTCTCACTTTTTTATCTCTCTTTCATTAGTTCTGTATGCGTCTACCTTCTTTTTTAATGCAAATGCAGTGAATTTAATCAACGTAAAAAATTTTAACGACGTTAAACGCTTTAGAAATAGAGTCGGCACTGTAAGCCTTCCAGGTGAAATTAAATTAGGCGCAATAGATCGTATTATTTGTTTTTATATAACAAGAGGCTGTAAATTGAAACATTTATGGCAATTAACACAATAAGATTTTCATTATATGTTTAAAGTTTTATCCAATCTATAAGTTCTTAAAATATAAAAGGATTAATATAATTTGAACATATAGCGGGAATCATATTATATGCAATTTTAACTTTATAAAAAGTATTTGTATCAAAAGTCAGAGAACTATTGCAAAAAATACATTTCCATCATTTTTACACGTTTCATGACATAAGATATTTTCCTAATACACATACCATTCAAAGAAATTATATCACCATAAAATTTAATGGAATTTATTACTTAACTGACGGAAAATATGTCACGAATAGGGAAATGAACTTCAATATTAGCTTAGATACACACTATACAGTAAGAATTAGTAAACGCATCAGACTGTTGAATTTACGCATTCCTTTCATCGAAAGAATTTTAGCAAAACCAATTACGAATTGCTAGAATACAAGATAGAAAATAACGTATGAAAACGTGAAGATGCGGTACCAGCCCGACATACGAAACTGGAAAGGGATACAGAACGTCCTATAAAATGCGTTCCCATTCTGTCGTATGCTCTAGTGCTGCTTCACTCGCGAATTATGTTTTCCACCGTCATTTAAAGAGTTTAATGAATTCAATGGTGTATTGCTCGGAGATACATCAGAGACGTCTTCGCTACTGCTGCTACGAATATCTCCCTCCATCTGAAAATCGAATATAATCTTGTTCTTAGATTAAAAATATTCATAATCAGAATGAATGACATGGCGAACCAAATTCTTAAAAAGTTGAGAGGAATTGCCTGTACTTGATATTCGTGCACGTTAATTTTCAAGCAACGAATGATATTTGAAATAGGAAACAATTACCCTGAAAAATATCCACGTAGAAAAACTCGATTAAAGTATTCCGTTAAAATCTCGAACTTTGCACAAATATTCTTTTTATTTTAATTAGTCAATCTTTTTTAATGCTTGCTAAGAAATCTAGGTTGCCATATATTTTCTAACACATTAGTGTCGATTTTCACTATTATTTTTCAAACAATAATTGAAACTTCGAGCTTCAGAGGGACAAAGATTTTATCAACAAATTTGTATGAGTCTCCATACTCAGAAATTAGTTAATTGCGCATATTCTTCGATTTAGACATGCGCGCGCGTGATCCCGCTTTCGGGATTCCTTGTAGATCAATCGTACTATTCGTACCAATAAAAGGACTCAGAAGACTATACCTTTAATTTATCAGTTATTCGACTTGTAAGTTTCGGTTAATCAGAGGTCTGAATTATTAGTCGCATAAACAGTGAGACTGACCTAGGAAGACAAGGTGTCTAAGATTCGAACTAATTTTGTTCCATGGATAATTTTATCAGTTATCACAGTTCTTCAGAGTAATCTCTTTGATGAAGAAAGCCAGAAACTTTCTTCGAACAAAATAAAACAATGACTCGTATAAAACTTTTTACGTAAAATACAATTACAATCGTGTCTAAAAATGCTGTAACGATTGGTAATTTTATGAAAATTTCGAAAATTATTGCAAGTGTCCCATTAAAAATAATTCAAAGACTTGTAAGTAAAGTATATGGAATAAAAGTAAAAAAAGATTTTTTTAGAATATTAAAAGAAAGAAATTGTTGATAAAAATTACGACATAAAGTATATCACCACTAAAAACTCTTTGCGTAGAAAACATATAAGCGATGCTTACTTCAAATGCATTAATAATTGTTAAAAAAAAAAGGATTTTATAATTATGAATAAATTTTAGAATTAACGAAGAACAGAAGAAGCTATTTGTATGGGTGAGTTGTCACACCGGACAAGCCTGGAAGCGAAGAAACTTCGCACCCAAACATTTCGTAATTGGCTATACGAAAACAATTCCCAGTGATATGATGTAAAGTTGATAAATATAAAACATTCTCTGCGTGCCTCTTTTTTTTATTTTTAACAGTGGCTTTGTACAATAGTGCGGTAAGTTGTGGGTAGAAAATGGCAAAATTATTATCAGATCGTTATGATAGATCCGTAGAGTTTCACTTTATAGATTCAGTTATATTTTATATATTTTCTAAAAAATTATTTAAAAATTCGACCAAGTAGGAAAAGATATTTTATCGAAAGGCTTCAATTTTGTATAATAATTTAATTGACAGTACTTTCTGCGGAGATATTTTCGGGTACGAAGTTTCTTCGCTTTGAGCCTCATTCATGTGACAACTCACACATGCGAGTAGCCTGCCCTTCTCCCTTAAGAAATTGAAAAAGAATTTTATTTACAAATTACTAACCTGTCCAGCGTTGAAGGCATTATATGCAATTTTCAGTATAAGCCAGGTCCATATTGCGTGAAGAACCAATAGAAGGATCAGCAGTGAATTAAAAATATAATAAGCCGGGAACATTGGCACTATCTTCGGTGCTTTTATGGTTGTACTGAAAATATTAAAGTAAATTCTTTATGAATGATATCGAACAAGAAATTTTAAGTCATAACTACGTTTATAGCCATTTCAAAGTCGTACAAATGCTTGCGGTCAGACAATGTAAGGTCGCAAATATTGTCAGAAAAATATCGCTTACCTATAAATTATCCAGAATGGATAAACCCCCATACGCGTCACAATCCAAAGAATTGTAAAAATAACGAATATGAAGTCGCAAAGTTTTTGGTAATCAGCGTACTTCGCAATTTTAGCCGCCTGAAAAAAGACATATTTAAAATACTTGATCCTCCGATAGTATCAATTATGAAGTCCATCTTAAATATTTAACTCGATAATTCATCTAAGAATTCGCCTCTCATGATTTTAATCGCACCATATATTTTATATGTAAACAATAATCGAATCATAAGAAGTAATGTATTTCCTACATGTTGAAAAAGACGGAGATGGAATATATAAAGCTCAAATAAATATTTAATATTGCAAATACTTATAAAACTGTATTATGTGATACTGATTTATAATTATGTTATATTACAGCATAAAGAACTGATGTGAAACAAGAAGTCATAAGCATATTTAGTTTAGAAAATATCTACCTTATATATAATTTTATGACATGTTTTTTCAGTGTCATAGAAGCTTCATGACATTAATTTCATTTACGATACATGGATTGTCTGATATTCCTGAATCTGAGTAAATCAGCATTTTTTCAAAAACATAATTATAGCTCTACATCACGTTTATAGTTCTATCTACAGGTCTCTTTTTATTCTACACCATGTAAAAATCTTCTGAAATATCTGGCTTCAATTTGATCAAAACTCTTGATTTTTGTTTAAATACAATGGATGAATAGCGTCATTGCATGTCATAAGAAATATGGAAAAGTCATAAAGTCATAAAAAATAAAGAAAAAAACTTACCTCAAGCAATATATCACCACAATCATGAACTAATAGAACCAGTGAACCAATCCTTGTAAGGTTACCAACCCACGAGAAACACATAAGAGCTATAGTAGCTATATGGTGGATGAACATTTGCCAAAAGTCCTTCCGCTTGACATCGAAAAATTGAGAGAAACTAAGTGACCAATAAAATGCCATAGATATCATATAGTACCACCAAACGTCATCGGTCACTGGGTGATATGGGTAATTATAATAGCAATGGTTTATATCCCAAAGCCAAGGCTTGTCCCACAAGATTACTATACCATATATAAATGAATATATATAATACACACAACGCCAACTGAAAAAAAAAGATCAATGATTGTTAAAGTCAAGTAAAATTGCTTATTCTAAGACTAGACTAAGTCAGCCCTGCCCCATAAAAATGTAATACGCATACATAGTGAATGTTTGAAAACCGAGGAAAATGTTTATAGCGTTAATCTCCTTTATTTTTTATTATTTCGCTAAAATATTGGTGGTTCCACATTCATCATATAAGAGAAACTGAGAAAGTTCTGTTTAGACGTTATAAATGTCTTCGCTTTGAGAATAACAATAAGGAGGATTTAACGAGTTTCTATCTTATTCGACTACTGTGCCTGCCATTACGTCAATTTATGAAAAAATAGGAAATTCCTCCTTTTTCGTAAATTATTTTTCAAGTTGATGCATTAATTATTTTATGACGTATATCGATAATTTCATAAGAAGATTGAAATATTGAATATTTTTGTTCCGTCTAAAACGTTTCTTCAAAATTGCTTTTGAACAAATTAAACCATTTATATTTTACCTTGAAGTCTGTGGAGTCGTCAAACGACTGTAATATGGATTTCACGAATACCTTTGTTTTGAACGAATTATATTGATACTATACAGTATTCTGTTTAGTCAAATTGGATAATGTTGAGATTCCCAGCAGGAATTTTCATTTTTCTTCAGCGCTTATGTAGTATTTCTTACTTGTTTGTGACTGTAGATACCGTTTTTCTCAACGAAAAAAAGTTACATACGAAATACAACATAATATTTTATATATTACGCTTAATCGCTTGAAATACTAAGAAAATTTATTTAATGCCCTATTATTCCCGTGTGGGACGTGTAGCTGGTTTTAAACGAAATAATCTAAATTGCAGAAGATGTAATAATGGAGATTGTAATTACCCAGACAAATTTCAGATGCCTAAAACACAATCTCTGTCGCATTAAACGTCTTTAAGAAGAATTATATACAGTATACGTTATCTGGGTAAGTCCTAATGGGTAAGTACTAAGTTCCTTATTCTTAGAATAATATAGATTGCCATACCACATTCAATTTTTTTTATACATTCTTTTTCTTTGTTAGCGAGAAAATATATAAAACTTCTTAAGATTTCCATTTAACTTTTCTTCGTATATGAATTGTTTATAATTTCCAGCAGCGCGCGCCAAACTCTACAATTCGGTTAGCTATTCGTCGAGCCATTTCATGATCCGACTGAACGTTCAAAACGTCGGCGAAAATTATCTGCGAAACTGCCCCGTTTTGTTAACTGCTGTCCCACGACCACCACGCGCCTGACTTGTGGTTATCATTTTTGGCCCAATCGACCTAACCTCTGTGAATTTAGACCATCAAGATGCTCATTTCAAAAAAACAGTTAGAGTTCTGATTGCCTGCAGAAGAATTCTAGAGTTCCTGATGGTTTTTAGAAATTGTTCTGTTGATTAAATGTGGGAAATCGCGATTTAAAAAAATGAGGGGCTAACTTCACGACGCCCACCATTTTTGAAAAAATGTAATTTTTTTGGGAATTCTGAATAAATTAACAATAGTTCTTCAGCAGTTCTGATGGAAGTTCTAGATAGTTCTCAAAGAGTTCTATCGATAATTCTTATGGCAAAAAGCTGCGAAATTAAAATTGAAAGAGTTCTGTGACTTCGAAGATTCTGCGTAGCAAGTAAGGTATAAAAAAAAAAAAAAAAAAAAAAAAAATGAAGAGTTCCAGGAGTTCTGATAGGAGTTTCTGATAGTTCTCAAAGAATTCTACAAAACGAATACCTGGACTTGATTAATCCACCCAGTGTTTCGATAGTATCGGATTTTATACGATTAATTGATTTTTTGAAATACTTATTTGAAATTGATTTTTTGACGGAATCTGGGTATGTATTGTAATGTTGAAAATACGATTTTCTAAAAGATGGTGGGCTGACGCATTTTTTTCAAACTTTATTTTCAAGCGGATAATGACCGGAACTATTGATAAAAAGTACAGAGAACTGTAGAACTGTTGTTAATCTATTCAGAACTCCCAAAAAAATTACATTTTTTCAAAAATGGTGGGCGCCGTGAAGTTAGTCCCTCATTTTTTGAAATCGCGATTTTCCACATTTAATCGACAGAACTATTTCTAAAAACCATCAGGAACTCTAGAACTCTAATGCGGGCAGTTAGAACTCCAACTATTTTTTTGAAATAAGCATAATGATGGGCTAACTTCACAGAGGTATCGACCTACAACGAGCGTGGCTCGATATTGTAGGCGATGGAGATAAAAATTAAAATCACTTGAAAATGCATATAATATATAATTTCATATTTCACTACGTGAGAGTCGATGGTAGATTCCCTTGACATGCAACCATGCATAACTAAGAATTTCATTCTTGCAAAACGTTAAGTACCGCCTCGTATACTAATATATGTGTTTGAAAATAATTGCGTAGTTACATTATCATTTTCTATACTAAAAAAATTGTGCAACAAAAACCATTTTTTATTGCTATATTGTTTTGATACGGGTATATTTTGAAAAAATATGAACTATTTAATAAAACAATATTAAGAAAATTAATTTCAAATATTCAGCGTTCAAAATATTACAAATTAAATGAAGTACCGCTCTAACACCTGTTAAATGACTTTAAAATTGGTAAAAATAATAAAAATCATATATCCAAGCTTGATTGACTTAAATTAAAATAATTGAGTTCTATGAAGGCCAATTGCAATTCGAAGTTTTTGTTAAAAACAAAAGACAAACTAATGCATATACTGTTGTTTGTTTTCAAGTTTACTCTGATGTGACATTTTCATAGTCAGAAAAAAAACTTTTGATGCAGCTTTGCATAATTACTGTTACATAACAAGGGGAAAACATCATAAGGAATGCAAGCTGTTATCATTTGAAAGAACCAACGGAATAGTTAAGTCATTTTATTAAGGATAAATAAAGCTCTATTTCAGTCCTTAAACGCAAATTATCAATCCTCTCCGTTTTACTTCATGCGTAACAACATAGACTGATTTAAAGCATGTAACGAATAAAATATATGGCTCAAATAAGTAAATATAAAAGTAGAAGCCTATTTTAAGGTGTCAAAGGAAATTGTAACATGAGTTATAATCTGCTTATTTAAATAGGATCATTAAAAAAGCAAACCTGTTTTCGCAGAATTTGGTTAATGTTGATGGTTTGTCTTGAGATCGCCGAAGTCTTAACCATCTTTCAATTTGTCTTTCAGACCAATCCAATTGCTTTACTAGCGCCAAAATCTATAATAAAATAAGTTATATAACTTTTACAACGCGTACAACATCATTACAGTCGTTAACCATTGTCTATCAAATAAAAAAAGATCAATATTAGTGAATTTTACCATACATAACATGACAAATGTGCAGTACCAAATTTATATGAAATTACACATATCTTTTTACTTATTTTGATTCACTATATTTTGCTTGTAATACTGCAGTATTCTTATTCAGTTGAGCAGAATATCATTATTAATGTTGCACTTAGATTTTTTTAATAGTCATTCTATTATATAATACTATCATAAACAAAACAAAAATAAGAGTATATTTGTCAAATTTATGCATATATTTCCTTGTGTACTAATTCACTTGTTTATTTGCAGTGATTAAGGAGGTGCTGTCGATGCATGCTAGTCAACTGACCAACTATCAAATCAATTCCATAAATCGATTAAAACAAATCGAACTTTCTACGAAATTATTCACATCAAGTATAGAAATTTGTTTGTAGGTGTTTATCTTTGTTAAATTAGCTCATTTGTACAAATATATTTAAAAATCATACTCTCATTTGACTTTTATTTATTTGTTTATTGGGTCTCTCCCAGTGTATCGATGGAGTTCCGGCAATTTAATTTGCAATTAGTCTTTGAAACACCCGTTAAGGTCACTTTATTATGGTATGTATCAAATCCTGAAGAATTCACGAATGTGTAGTATGCCATTTTTTGCTTCAAAGTTCACTTCAAATATGTTAATTTCTCATCCAAAGTCGAAATTCAATCTCTGTGACCTTTGAGTCCATATATAAAGTTTCGTTTTTAATATTACTTTTCTTAACATTTTCGTTGGTGACCGACCTTCAAATTTTGCAATTGAGTTCAGAATTGTTTAATTTATAACCTATAAAAGTTTCAGACGTGAAAATTCAAGTAAGCAGTTTTGACAAGATCTCCTTAAAATTAACAAAATAAACTATGTTTAATTACACCGTTGAAAAATGATTTTTACATATTTCATTTAAATACTAATATGGCAACAGGTGTTACATGAAATACTGTATAATGTATATTGATATGCTCTCACCTGTTTATGCTTGATTTTTCTGCTTGTATATGCATCTTCAAGAAGTGGATTTGGTTGTGCCTTCTTTGGTCTGGAATTCTTTATACCAAGTGATTGGCCAATCGGAGTAAACCAATACCTATAAGATTTAAAACTAGTATGACTAATTTTCTAATACAAAAAACAGTGAAAATTAATTCTGACATTTTTATTATTATTCAATTTATAGTTTATAATTATTTATAAAACAATTAGTGCTAAAATTGCATTTTTGATTATTGTCCAGAATAGCAATTGTTGTATGTTATATGTTTCTATCTGAACTTTGCATTTAAAGATGACGATAATAAGTAATTTGCCTATAGCATGAAAAATGAAAAAGCATCATTATATCCTGAAACTCAACATGAAAGGCTGGCACACTTGTTGAATACCTGAAATATAACTAATATATATGCAAGCCATGTCTCTTAATATATACAGTGAAATTACTGTAATTCTAATAAGGTGAAAGGTACCGTTTTCAATCAATATTAGACTAAATCTTGTGTCCATTACATTTCAAAACATATATACTTTTATGTTCTTGACATTATAATGAAAAAAAGAACTTATGAAATGAATTAAATATTTTGTTTTATATTAGTATTCTGATATTGCAAGAAATTGTTCCAACAGTTGGATACCTTTGTGCTTACAAAAGATATATAAGTAGTACAATCAAAATGATGTTATAAAAGTCATAAGGAACTAATGAAAGTATCAAGAAATATTATATGAAAGAATACTAAATCAATGTTTAGACTCTGTTCAGTGATTATGATTTTTTTTTTATATATAGTAAAAAGATATAAAAATAAAAATTCAAAAGCAAGCACTACACTTGATAAAATTACAAGATGTTTATCAAATGCAAATTTCAAATAGTTCAATATAGTCACAACATATGTCACAACTTTATCAGTCTGAATAGAAATAATTAAAATTATTTAGATCCAATACAAGTTCTATGAATGTAAATATGGTATTATATGATCATTGTAACGGTGAACAAAATCAAATTTATTAAACATCCACTGAAATACCCTATAACATTGGATAAAATAAATTATATACGATGATAGGTAAATTAAATTAGGTATAAAGTAATTATTTAAAAGACCTTTCGAGGCAATATCTGATGACAAGTAGAACAAGTGCCATGGGTAAAGGCAGAATGAGATGCCGGTAATCGGCATATCTGTTGTCGCGAGTAGGTGCGATGTCAGACCAACTCGTGTTAGGTGGCAGCCAAACTCTGGGTGACCAGAAAGTTGACGAAATGTTGCCTAGTATATCCATGAGTGTAATCTAATATTTTAATCTCGAGGTAAATTCGTGATCCCAAAGAACTTCGTCGCTTCATCCACAATCTCGTCCGTCGTCGATGGTGCTGCACGCCCACACAAGACTGTTCCCGTTTAATTCAAATCATATTACGTCACCAATCATGAAACTCCTTCTCTTGTTCTTTTCTAGTTCACTATCGAATTCTCTCGCCATAAACAACCGTCACAACGCCCAGTCTACGTAGATGGACACACACGATCTAGAATCTAACGAATACTTTTAGTTGCAATAAAGCCTCTGTAATCATTTAACTCTTCTTTGGAATTGATAACACTTTATAAGTAATGTATTACGTGCGGATTCACTAGCTTTTATCTTTATGAGTTTTAAGAGCATTTAATCAGCTCCACGCACAACTCTAAAGTCCATGAATGAAAAGCGGAAAGGGACGATTTTAACACTGCCACCATTTTAGATCTCGTAAGTATACGAGCAGTATATATGTGTAGTATTCTTCTACAGTGACTACGTTTACACGACGATCTTAAAACGATTTAGTTAATACAGATCTAAAGGAATTGACGAATCATAGACATTTCTCCTTGTAAGGAATGTTTGGAATTGGGAAATTTCTTTAGAACAGTATTATCTAAACCAATCCTAAGCATTTCTTACAAGTATAAATGTTTATTATTTCTCTATTCCTTTATATCAGGGAGTCGACTGTGTAACTCAAATGTAGTGAAAACGTTGAGTGTAGATAGGTATAGAGGTGCGGAGGACGTGGTGGGCGTATGTCAAGCATATACTATAGTAAAATTTTAGTTCCAATCCCGGCGGGTAGATGGCGCCCCGAAAATCCCAAGAGTGGACACACGATGTCATCACACGGCATCTTGTAGATGCGCCTGAAATTAGGGCAATAATAGAAACGCGCCTTAAGCCAGGGCATCGTGTGAACGCGCCCTATGAAAAAGCGACGCTACGCCTCGCGTGGCGTCAGTAGCTAGTAGACAATGGCCAGTAGTCAGTAGAGATGGTTCCTATTCAACGTCAGTAAGCAACATGTGTATATCTTAAAATAAATCGTACTGATCACCTCAAACACGGCTTCTTAGTGGCAAAAATTATCTCCTATTCCCTACACAAGCTATCTTGTGGCGCTGCCTATGAGTGGTCATTTGTACTAAAAGAGACTGTAGCGCGCACGCGCAAATTGTTTGCAAGAAAACAAGAATGTTGTTTGCACAAACAACATTCTAAATAGAATTAATAATGGAGAAATTGTAGGATTTATCACGCGTATCAAAGATTATATAATAGAAACTAATTTCAGTGTTATAACTTTTATTGCTTTCTATTGGGAATGTATATTTTCGGATTGTAGATCACATATGCAAGTGCACATAAATAAATATAAAATCATTTTCTCAAATAACTATATGTTATTTGTTGTAGACCTTACCTTAATTTTTAGGGTAGCTTCTCATTCGTTTTTATTAATAATTTAGATAAGATGAACATACGAATGTGTTTAAAGGAAAATCGTGCATATGGTTTATCTGTCAATTATGCGATAGAGCAAATGACTTAACTACTGAAATACAAGTTCCGAAGAAAGTATACGAACTACATGATGCTGGTCGATAGGCAAGGCATTGGGTTAGGAGACTAGAGGTCTGTGGTTCGAGACTCTCCGTTGGAAGTTTTTTTTCTTCTTCTAGACGTTATGATTTTTTTTTAAATACACGGTATTAAGGAGGTTGCAGCGCTTAACGCCGGTCAAATCAGTGCTCAATATTTTTTATCGTTTTTACAAAGTTTTATGAATTAATTGATTGCAGTGAAGGGTGCTTTGTATTATAACATGTGCCCATAACCCATAAAAACATTCAGAGCGATGAATTTGCAATAATTATTACCTGACCAATTTTACATAATGCATTAAATTTACAAAAACGATTACTAAAATTTAACACTGATTTGACCGGCGTAAACCCTCCAACCTCCTCAAAAGTTGTACGGGCTGCACGCTGAAGGTAAAAAAAAAATCGAACCAAATATCAATTTTTTTCTAATTTTATTTATTACTTTATTATAATAAAGGCATCAACAACGATAATCTACGGGCTTCCACATCACCCAAGAGGTGCCGTAGTCGATGCGTTCCCATTATTTAACGTAGCGGGAACCCAGTAGGCCTCTACTACGATCGAAGATAATAACGTCATAAAAATGATGCATTTAAATAATTAGTGTATAAGCAAATCACAATAACGTAAAAAAATGGTTCGACTGAAAAATCTAAATAACATGCGCTCTGTAGTAAGAAATAAATTTTGTTCACCGAAGACGAATACTAAAATTCTCGACTATATCTCTATTTAACTGGACTCATGCTGTGTTGCTTATCTCGATATACCTAGATTTATTATATTGCATGCATGTACTTGTCGCCGGAGCTTCTGCGGGTAGATTGGATGCTCATCCGTTGTCTCTGAAACTGTAAAAAATTCTCCTGGTATGCGGAGGTATGTTCTGTAGACGAGTTCGGCTGCTGATGCCTTCAGGTCCTCCTTTATGCTTGTGCGCAAGCCTAGCAGCACCATTGGTAAGGTGTCGACCCAAGAATCCGTTTCGTGGCACATGATTGCCGTTTTCAGGGAACGATGCCATCTCTCGACCAATCCGTTTGAAGCTGGATGATATGCGGTTGTTCGAATCCTTTCTGCACCGATGAAATGTACCAAAGCTTTGAAGAACGCAGACACAAACTGCGATCCCCTATCGGTGGTAATCGTTGTGGGTGCTCCGAATCTTGCGATCCAGTTGTTGGGGAAAGCTGCAGCGACGGTCTCGCTGGATGTATCCGTTATGGGTACTGCCTCGGGCCATCTGGTGTAGCGATAAATCATCGTGAGGCAATATTTAAAGCCTTTTGACGTTGGAAGTGGTCCTACGATGTTGAGGTGTACGTGACTGAATCGTGAATCCGGTACGGGTATGTGTTCCGGTACGTTGTGGTTGTGCCGAGAGATTTTGCTCCGTTGGCACGCGATACACGTCCTGGCCCAGTCCATGATGTCTTTGTTCATCTTGGGCCATACAAATTTTTGCTGTATGATGCTCTTGGTGGTGCGCCCACTCGGATGAGAGAGACCATGCGCTGTGTTGAAGATCGTTCTTCTCAAACCTTGCGGTACGTATGGGTGTATTTCGTTAGTCGAGACATCGCAATAAATGGTAGTTTCCGAGTCGTCCACTCGCAATCTTTTAAGTTGCAGTGAGGAGTCCGTACGAAGCAAGTCCTTGAGTTCCTTATCCGTTGCTTGAGCTGCCGCCAGCATATGCTCGAAGTCGGCCATGGCAGCCTTAAGCTTCTCACCAGTGATTGGTCGAATGAATTCGTGTGTTTCTCGATATCCGCGATTTTAAACTGGGTGAACACTTAAATAGGGAGATTTGTATCCACCTTTTTTTTTACAGGATATTACATAAACCGTAGTAATAAGGTAGTCAATATCCTTAATATCCATATGAAGCTCTGGAAATAAGTAGAGTAAGCAAATAAAACTTAAAAAAAAACCTCGAACGTGGGTAACTACAGAAATATAAGTTTGCTAAATAATATAGCACAATGACTCGATGGTACACGTGCTTGCTGCTGAGTTAACGTCCGAGAGTTTCGGGTTCGAAACTCACGTCTTACCTCTCTTTTCTTTTAATTATCAACTATGCTTATTGGTTTACCTAATTAACTGAAGTTTCATGAAATACATGATAATATTAATCTACAAATATTGTATTTTATTACATCGTATACATCCAATAAGTTGGTACATGAATCGGCGAATGTTTCTTCTTCCCGAGAGCCTACCTGTGACAAACACCTATGGTACGCTGTTTCCTTTTTTAATAGCATAAATAATATTCAGACGGATAAAGAAGGCATTACGAAAAAATACCAAAAACAAAATTGCAATTATAAATCTCGGGCATAAAATGATGAGCATATAAAAATGAACCAATTATTTTCTATGGTGAAATGAAACAAATAATGTATCTGGTATATCTGGATAGTTCGAAATATTAAAAATAAAATTATCTTTCCGTAGGCATGAATAAAAAAATTGACTAAATTGAATCAGGCTACTCAAAAATGTATAAAACTAAAATTTTCTAAGCAGATATACTATTTGTCTCATCTCATTTTTTACTGCTTTTCTATTCGGCTAAATAGTATTAAACTATTAAAAACTGAAACAGCCTGCCATACGTGCGAGTGTTATTATATTCTTTTTTTAATCAGACCACGCTGCGGCCACGGCATATTAAAACAAAAAATGAAATGGAGAAGTGTGTCTATGTTAGAAATGCAAAAGCGTTAAGCGAATGAAACGAGATTTTTTCCATCGCCGTCAATTTTTCTCTTATCGATCATCTTCATGAGAGTCCGTGTCGCAACAAGTGAGGCTGCTGACTTCAACAAGCTATGAAAAATATGCAATGGCCGCGTTAGCAACGATTCAGCTTCGTGATCGTAAGGTGCCGAGTTCACGTGTAGAGACGGTTGAACCGCGAGTTAGGGCGGACCTAGGCGATCGCAACGCCAAAGAGGAATCTCCATGGACGAAAAGAAAGTTACGACTGTCACATTTTTTACTACTTTTCTATTCGGCTGAATAATATTTAAACTATCAAAAAGTAAAAAAGCGTGCCATACGTGCCAGCGTTATCAAATTTGTTTTTAATCAGACCACGGCACGTTAAAACAAAAAATGAGATGGAGAAATGTATCTATGTTAGAAATGCATTACTACTTTTCTATTCGGCTGAATAATATTTAAACTATCAAAAAGTAAAAAAGCGTGCCATACGTGCCAAAGTAATAGTGAACGGACCCTTTTGAAGAATATGCCGCGAACCCATGAATACAATGTTGCAAGCAAACTGAAAACATTCCCGCGGCTTCTGCTAGCCTTTTTCAGTTCTTTCTTCTAGTTTGAGAGTGTCAGTTCGCTCTGCGTTTTCAAATATAGAGTGAATGAATATAAGCGTTTCAAGAATGGAACACGAAAATAAGAAAAAGGAAAGGCAGTATGATTTCTGTGCGTACGGAGGATGTGCAAACGGAAAATTAACGACCAAGTCCAGACTGTATAGGTCTCCTAAGAAAGACGATCCTCGACTGGCAATATGGATCAAAAATACAGGTGAGTTGTTAATATGAACTTTCTATCTGTACACTTATCTAGCATACCTTTTGTTTGTACACTGAATCTTATTAGAGTGAACTTCACACAGTGTCTAATACAGTATTTAAAAGTTCACTGTCAGTAGTTAGAAAATTTCGTTAATATAAGTTGAACTTTACACACACAAAATTTTGTATGTCCTCTGAAAGATCTAGTCTACAGATAAAGGTTCTATTATCAAAAGTACTATCTCTATAGGCGGGGAGGGAGAATAAAGGGAACACATTATAATTAGAGAAATATATTAATTTATTATTCTAATTCTGGATAAAGTATAATTAAAACCTATCCAGAATTGCCTCCATCATAATGCGCAATGTGCGGTCTGCCCCTTCTGTTGTTGCTGTTGGTGGTGTATTACGTGTATTGGGACGGCGGTTTTGCCCTCCGCGGCCACGATACGGGGCCTGCTGTCCACCGTTGACCGCCTGCCGCTGCTTGCGGCTCCACCGCCAATTCGGTTTTTGTTTCCCATCTGAAAATAGAGCAAAATATATAATAGTATTTAAAGAAAATGTATCGTAGTTACTAATTGTTCATACCAAATTTGTACTTACTACCACCACCTCGTCCCTGACTGTCCGGTTTTCCCGTCAGTTCTTTTGGTTCTGTTTGGGGTTCTTTTTGGGTGTTTTTTGTGGCCTGCTCTGCCACCGCGTGCTGCTGCTTCTCGGTTCTACAAACAATACAAAAACACGTTAATACAAATAATTTGAAATAGAATGTCTAAAATAATATATGTACATTAATCACGAACATGTTTTTTAAAACTTACGTCAAATCGCTCTGTTCGAGGAGAGCTGCCAACTTCTCCGTCTCACCCTCCAGTGTTTCTTTGTTATTCTGTAAAATAAACCAAGAAATTACATTAAACTTTGTAGATACCCTAAAATTTCAGTATATCCTGCGATGAGGTTTTTGTATTGCAATATACTATTTAAACTGACACGTCTCCTCTCTAGAAGATGATGTTGTAAAGGAAAGAGAGGAACGATATACTATTAAAAGGAAACAAGACTTACCATTTTGGTCACACGTCGAAACTATTCTGTCGCGATGCAGCTCGGCGAGCGGCGATCGGGGATCGCGTGCGAGTATGAAAGGGATAGGCGTGGCGGCGTGCGGTGGGAGGTGTAGTACACGAGCGGATGGCATGAAGAAGGTGACAGGCAATAGAGCGCTTAAAAAAAAGGGATTTTTTAAAATTTCTTAAAAGAAACTCTTTGAAAGTATGATTTACATTTTTTTTCTAGACATTGACAAATATTTTTCCTGTGTACACAAAATTTATAATGTTTAAATTAAAAATCGATGTGAATCGGCGTGCATTGTAGTATCTGAACTGTTAGTCTGAAATAAAACAAAATATTT